CTGTTATCACAGTGTAGAATTCTGTGGTTTAGGGTGAACGCGCACCGGGTGAGAATAGCCACAAGACTCGCCTGCACTATACTATTCTCACTCTGGGTGAGAATAGAGGTGGCCATAATGGGTCATGAGCTAGGTGAGAATAGGTGGCCTTCCTCAAATTCCTGAGGCCTAGCAGTTACCCTGAAAATAAGACACGGTTAGTGGCAGCAGCCAGCGCAAGCATAATAATGATATGCGTTCATGGCTGGTGTGCACTCGCCAGTAGTGTCAGTGCCCCACCAACAACAGTCTGATCACGCTGATCAACAAACAGCTACGACAACGAGACAGGCAGGGCAGGACCAAACACAAATAAATGCATAAAATACAAAAGACTTTCATCGAGAAAAGGATACAGCTTGATACCAGAAACTCGGAATCTTCTGGATTATCTTATTTCTGTTGATGAAATGGGGTCTGCGAAGTTTGTTGTACTTTTGTTCCACAGTCAGGATTTCCTCGCTGGCCTTCTCGTTCAGAGCATCAATTTCATTTTGACAAGTGTCGATTGCCTCAAGAGCGCTTTGAGTAGCACTGACGTCTAAACTGTTATCATTGTCTTCTAGCTTTGGCTCCTTAGGATTTGATGCAGGCATGATTAAGGTTGTATTTGCTACAAGTAGTAGATTTAGGCCTATAATTTTCTTTCAAACATAAACTCCAGAAAAAGCGCAGCGTGTTTACCTCCAGAGAGCGTGTGGTCTTTATTCTTGAATGTTGATGATATTAGTAATCCAGGATTTTAGACACGTTGATAATCAAAACACTTAAAAGTTGGGGGGTTTACTCCCTTCGAAATTGAAAACTTAAAAAAACAGCCATTTTTTTCAATAGTACTTACTTGATTTATTTTATGATTTCTGGACTGAAGAAAACTTTGTTCATTAACTCTAAAAACAAAAAAAACAAGAGCGCATTTGACGCAGCGCCAACTTGGTAGGTCCTATCTGATTTGAGGAGTCCAGAATGCTAAAAATAGATTCCGCCCTTGAGAAACCGAAAAAAAATGAACATGCGTCCGCATGCGCAGTGTCCTCTCCATTGACCGCGAGCTTTTCCAAGCCGTCTTTCAATTGGCTAGTTTTGCAGGGGATTCCTTTCCTTGTCATTCTTCTAACCAATTGAAATAAAGTTGTCAACGGTAAACGCAGGTTACTCTGTGCGAACACAAAATGGCCGAGGAGGAAAAGTCTTGTTTACAAAATATTGAAATTTACTCAGATTGTAAAGGTGCAGACGAAGTCGCGAGTAATTTACCAAATATTTTTGAAGCGTTGTCCAATGATTTGTCACGTGATGGCCATGAGATAGATGTTGATATGCATGAGCCTGAACCAAAGATAACTAACACATGTGAATCTGAAATAGCAGACAGTGCTGACAATCTTGGGACAGACGGTGTTCATCAGAATATTCAAGCCGAACATGAGCAAGGTCACGTAGCAAATGGAATTGGAGACGGTATTCAGGCTTTGGATAGAAAATCCATAAAAAGTGAGCAACTTTTTTATGAGCCAAACCCAAAGCGGTTGAAACTGCAGATCCCCCAGTACCATGTTCACACCAGTGTTGGCAGTGACAATAGTTCATCAAGTGTCACCACCAGTAGTACCAGCCCAGTGTCTTCTGGGGAAAATTCTAGCCCAGAAGGAAAACGTCGTCGAATTCAGCATGATTATCGACGGCTGTCGAGCTCAGGATATGTTGATGACTATGAGAGAAGTAAAGACAGTAGATTCACAACACCTTCAGAGGCAGACATTCTTCCAATATCGCCTGGAAGGTGCAAAAGTGCATCCCCTAGGAACAAATCTCCAGTGAACGGTTCTAAATTATATTTGCAGTCTCATTCACAGTCTATGCTACCTTGTACTTCAGATGTTCAGGCTGAAGAAAATGCAAACTCTGACCATAAGCTCAAGACTTGTAAGTTTTATTATATGTCCATGAGCTATACATATATTTCAGTTTTAAAAGCTAGACACTATTAGTATTCGCACAATAATTTTCTCAACCTTTTTTTAAGGTGGCTATTCTCATCCCCGATGAGAATAGAAAAACGATCTACCTCTCACCCCGGGTGAGACTTGCCAGCGTAAGCTATTCTCACCCGGTGGGAGACAAGACCTGCTTTTCCTCATTTTGGAATACTGTCTATCGGTGTGGATGATCAAATTGATAAACATTAAAAGCCAAGAAAAAATTACGTTATAGCACAAAAGTAAGCTAATTTGATCGTCTTCAAAGATGCTATGGCTATTTCACTGTTCGAATCGAGCCGAACTACGCGGGTCGCCATTTTGTTTTGCCCGGAAGTTCTCGCAAGATCTACTCCTCTCTCTCTCTCTCTCTCTCTCTCTCTTTCTGAATACTGTCTATCGGTGTGGACGATCAAATTGACCAAAACAAAGTTCAAAAAATGATGTTAAAACACAAAAGTAAATTAATTTGGTTGTCTACAAAGATGCTACGGCTATTTAACTTTTCGAATCGAGCCGAACTACACGGGTCGCCATTTTGTTTTGACCTGAAGTTCTCGCGCTACTCCTCTCTCTTTCTCTCTCTCTCTCTCTCTCTCTCTCTCTCTCTCTCTCTCTCTCTCTCTCTCCACTGCCCACAGACAAAATTGTACGCTTTTAGTAGGCTACAGTTGTAATGGAACGTTTGTGATCTGCACAGAATTCTACAATTTTTCTGTTATCACAGTGTAGAATTCTGTGGTTTTAGGGTGAACGCAAAATTTGTTGGCCTAGATCTAGGCTTTAACGGTGAACGCGCACCGGGTGAGAATAGCCAAAAGACTCGCCTGCACTATTCTCACCTCGGGTGAAAATAGAGGTGGCCTTTTTTTAAACTCTTTACTTTTAGCCATCTCTTCTTCTTGACCTTTGGCACAAATTATGAACGAACTTTTATATATTTTTATACATTTTCAGACCTGCCACTTATATCCGGATTTAACTCATTCGCTACGCCGAGCTGTGGGGGGGGGCGGCGCGGCTCAAGTGCCGTCAGTACGCCAAGCCGCCCCCGGCGGCTCGAGACCAATTTTAGCTTGGTTTCTATTCCTATCCACATCCATGTTAAAATAAAGGTCATAATGTTGACTTCCGGGTCAAGCGTTTCCACCGAAAATCGGAAGTTTTGATTCAGTTTTGAAACATGATTTCATAGTTTATTCGACTTTGTTTTATCGCGAAGCCCAAATTATAGCCCAGACACCAGTCTTAGTACTTTTACACAACAAAATGTATCATTATTTTGCTCACTAAAGAAGTGTAGGACTCTTCTTTATAATATTGATACTATTGGACCCAAATTGCCGGTGCACTGTAATTGAGAAATCAATATTTTTGAGTGCTAGATCTAGGCCTAGATCTAAACAGTCAAAATATTTTTTTATCCCTAAAATCACTACTTTTGGGTGAAATTAATCAAAAAGTACCACTCAAGACAGGTATAGGTTTATTCCAAATGTAATTCTGAATAATTCCATATATATACGTTACGCGTATTTTTTTCTGTTTGTGATCCTTTTTTCAAAGGAAGAGGCTAGCCGTACTTAATGACGGCTAGACTCGCAGTCTAGCCGTACTTATTCTAAATATGATGGCTAGACTGACCATTTACAAAAAAATAGGCCTACTGAATTGTAAATATACATTTTTAGTGTGCAGTACCTAAAGTATGCATTTGAGATGAAACCAGGTGCCTTAATGACAGTGCATGTACTTTAAACCTTCTGTTTTCTAATGTTAATAGGGCCTAAGATTATAAGTACGGCTAGACTATCAGGCTAGCCGTACTTAATATTGATGGCTGAATTATAAATGACATTTTTAGTTTGCAATGCCTAAAGTATTTGTATTTCATATAAAACCAAAAGATGCCTTAATGACTTGCATCATGTATTTGAACCTGAATAATTACTAGATCTAGTCTAATGAGACCTGTGTACTAAACAGGCTTTTGAGTCGATAGGCGGTTAGACTCTCAGTCTAGCCGTACTTAAGTACGGATAGACTCTCAGTCTAGCCTTAAGTACGGCTAGCCACTTCGTTTTTCAAAATTATTTTAAAAAATTATTTTTTTCAATATCGGATGTTATGATCCAAATGTACAAATATTATGGAATGTATGTAAATAACTGCACACCATGACTACGTAGACCCCAATCGGGGAGTACGTAGACACTTCCTTTTTTTTTTATATTGATGATGTTACTGCTGAGTAAAATGCAGACCTGCCACTCTATGAAATCTGAAATTTTCGACACAAATTAAGAAAAGTATTGATAAATGTAGTTTTAATTTTAACAATATTCTACAACAAACAGTTACACGTGCTTTCATGATGACTTTTAAAAAACGAAGTGGTTACATACGTAGAGCATCGAGGTTATGTGTTGGGCTCAGTTTTTCACATAAATAAGCTAGACTTTGTAGGCGGCACATTAGCTATAGATCAAACCGGACACTACAAGTGGAGAAACTGTCAAACCCTAGAAGCGCGCAGACTCTTTATAAAGGGCGTGAGCCGGGCTACCCGGGAAGCGCAGGCCAGGGCATAGGATGCTGACATTTTTACTTCAATGGAAAATTTCAGTGTCCCAGAAAATGACGCAGTAAATTACAGGTTAAAGATAGTTATCTTGACCTCGTAGAACGTCTCGTGGCCAAAGATCGTACATACATGAGAAACAAAATACATGTAGTTCACTCAGCCAACGAGGTGTCCTCGGAAGTCCATGCTTTGGTTCAGATGACGCTGCAGTCTTCGTTTTGAAGCTCTCTTTCATTTTTCCAGACGAAGAATTAGGAGTAGCACAGTTTGTTATTTCAAAGAGTTATGTATTTTGTATCAATGGAAAGGTCTTTCAAAGAGGAATTTAAAAAGGTTAGTTAGAGAGACAGCAAAGGCTTGTGAAAAAAAGTTGTTTAATAAATGTAATCTTACCTCGGTGCAAACAATACAATCCATGAATACACCAAATTCTGTATAATAGATTTCTAGATCTAGTCCATTTAATTGAATTCACTGTCCACAAAAATCATTATGTACACAGTAAATGAAAATAATAAAAATAAAAATAAACAATAAAAAGGGAATAACTAATAGAAGAAAAAAAAGAAAAAATCATTAGAAAAAAAATGCTCACAACATTGGAACAGCCTATAAGACCACGAAATCATCATGTTCAATGATCTGGATGGCTGAAAGCTTTTCGGTATCAAACAAGACAATCTCAAAGAGAAAGCGCTATTTTTGTCCTTAATGTCATTTGTTTACTTCCTACATGTGCTGCACGTTGTGTTGGAGTCTTTCAATCGATATAAACATAATATGACAGATAATTTTTTAAAAAGCATGTGTAATTGGGTTGGATTTGTAATGCGTTCCAACGTTGTGGGTTCCGCACGTTGTATCCCTACAAAGAAAAAACTTGGAAAACAAGACAAAACATCCGCCTCATCGAAAAGGAAGAGCTAAAGAATGAAAGAAGGGCGCCAAACGGAAGTAATTTTTAACCTCGGCTTCGTGGAAAGCCCTCGTGATTTTCAGTAAATCTCCGAGAAATGGCGGACGTAAGTTGTCAAAGACTCAGCGGGAGGGGTGCGTCACAAAATATTCTCGAATCTACTAATAATTTCTTCAATTTTCGCAAATTACGGCTAAAACCGATGTAGAAATGAGTATCGCATAGTTTGAGCATAAAACTTCCATTCGTTTTGCTTTTTTTGGAAGTAAATTTAGCACTTCCTTAGAGTCAAAATGTGGGACTTACGATTTACGACCACCATTTCGCTCTGTCCGTTGCCATTTCAAACTGGTGCTACATTTCCCTTTTTTCACTCATCACATTAGAAAAACATACTTCTTGGGTGTTCTAGCCATTTTTGGAGAAAATCTAGCATAATATGCCATTTAAAACAAAATCTGTCAGACTCGCGAACATCGGGAAACGCAATAAGTCTAAATCCTAACGTTGGTGACCCTGTTGCACAAAATATCAAACGAAATAAACAAAGTCAACACTTGCTTTTTATTCACGTGTTTATTGGGCACATAAGCAATCAAAACAACACAAATTGAACACAAAACTGTACAACAGGAGCATTTTATTTTTAAAATAAACCCTTTGTTGTCTCTCACATTCTTACCGTGAAATCCGCCATAAAGTGACGCCGTCCAGCCGAGCAATTATCAAGGCCGTGAGCATACTTAATTAGATATAATAATCTATCTATACTTTAAAGGGCCGTACGTAGGGAGGGCAGTACGCATAGCCGCAGGCTTTAAAAAATCCACTATTTTAGTACTATTACCTTCTTATGAAAAGTTAAAAGATCAAGCACACATCAATAAATCTGCTCATGCAGCTTGACCAACTTTTTTCCATGCCATATTATTTATAATATAATGTTTTCAATAGAAAACATATTTGTCCATGAGTAGTGGTTGATTTAAAAAATCCTCATCTTGCAAACACCCCCATCTTTTGGCAAAGGCTCGTATTTTGATATATATTGAAAATCAGTCTTTCAATTTCTCAGCACC